TGACCAGCACTATAGCATAGGCATCACAGTCAGCAACACAATTATCCAAGTTACTGTTACCAGTGATCTATTTTAGGGAATCAGATGAATACAGACGTGCCATTTTACTATCAAACTGAATGGTTTGCTTCTCTGTGGATTTTTTTTTTTGTTTGTGTTCTGTAAGGTGTTTAGTTTGCACATCATCTATTTCAGATTTTTGTTTGTTGACAATGCTGTCAATTTCTCTGTGCCAGTCTTCTCCTTGTTTGGTGACAGCTGTTGTCAGTTTTTATTGTTTTTCAAGGAATTGTTCTTTCTCTTTGTATCTCTCCAGAAATTTCTTCATACTTAGGGCATACTGAATTAATTCATCAGCATCTTTTTCAAAGGTCTCTTGTTTGGATGTGAAATTCAATAAAGTACATGTATATCTTAGTGGAAGTTGGATGAAAGACAGAGTGAAGATACAGAAAAGGTCACATTACTCACATCAAAGTAAAAACTGTTTCCCAAATGAGATGGATATTTGGGCGTAGTTCCCTTTTGTTTGAATGGGACTACTTCATGTTCTTCGGATAAATCAGAGAGATGCTCCCCTACGCATGCTTTACAGATTGACATGACAAAAGTCACAGTACATTGGAAGGACAGGAATCTCACTCAAGTCACAGCGCAGGATGAAAATACTACATATTTGTACATTAAATTTTGTTCGAAGACCAAAAAAAAGGCCAATTTGAGAGGGATTTTTATTGCTCCTGCACTCTTGTATTGTATAGTTTGGTGATGGTGGCAAATGGGAGGGTATTAGCACTGGCAAGTGCAGACAAGTGAATGTATTTAATTTATAAATTGTTGCTTTATTAATTCAAGAATATTTTGTTGATCCCTGATCATCATATTTCTGTTGATTTTGGGCAACATATCTTCATCTATCAGTGAATTTTGTTTTATTTAATAGTTCTTTCTATCCTTGAAAGTGTGGTATTATACTGAAGTGAGTGACCGATAAGGCCATTGATCCTCTTACATATATTTCTTAAATGTGCCGAATATATATAAACCCATTCCCTACATACTGGCACTATGCACTTGGATGCCCCCTGTCTTACCATTTTCAGAGATGATGCATTACAGATGATGTCATGGTGAGAAAGATTGATTGATTGGTTGTATGATGTTTAACGTCCCATTTGAGAGTGTTTCACTCATACAGAGACGTCAATGTATGCCAGTGAAGGGTTTTTGATACCTACACTTGACACTCAGGGCCATTGAGCAATGAGGTTATCATGCAGACACAGGACCTCGGATTTTACGAGAGTGTCATAATCTGACCAAAGGTCATTTTGGCAAGTTCAAAGCAGAAAATTGTTAGATTCATGTCTTGTCCACACTTTCATAATGAAAACACGTTGATACTTCTCAACAATATTATGGTGTGTCATGACCTTAATCCAAGGTTATTCAAGCAAGTTCAAGGTGACTGGTAGAAGTAGTATAAAATTTGTGCCCAG